TCGATCCTTTGCGACCTGGTCGTCCAGGTGGACCGGGAGGTCCTGGTGGACATCTATTCTTCTTTGCTCCACACGCTTTAGAAAAGGCTTTATTCACCTCCACTCCCATTGTTTGTAAAAGTTCTTTACGAACAGTTTGAAAGTTGGTGTCGTTTGAAGGTGAAGACACGGTGAGGCGACGGGTTCTTTGTCTTGAATCATGGATGATCTTTGGTGAGTCGATGGAACGACTTGCTGTAACGAAATCAAATGATTATGTTACATCAGTGGGATATGTCTGGGTTTGTAGATAACCGTACCACGCATTTCGATGAAAGGTCTTTTAATTTCCTGTAAGTCGATCCAAAACTTTGATATATGCTATGATTGCTTTTTATATTTTGATGTTTTAATTGTTCTTTTTTGCTATTTCATTTTGTTGTTCAGTTCCCAGAAAGATAGATTCAGCAGATTTACACGAGTTTCACATTGTAATCCCTCATTCAAATCATTAAAAAACTCAGTGACATTCAACGAGTCTGTACGCGTATCTCTACTCTGTTTACTGCTCACCTTTGATTTTCTTGGTTTTCACATCACACGGCTCTACATCTTTCCCATCTGTCTTCTCTTCTATCTTGTCTAGTCTTGTCCTGTATTCACTTAGAATCAACTCAACACGTACAAACTCACCCAAACACAACACACCAACTACAAACCACAAGACCACAGACACTCTGCTTGTCCCGCGGGATGAGCAGCTTGTTTTGTCAGACATGACTGGATTTGGCGGAACTGTTTGAAGAACTAAGTTCAAATGGGATCAGATTAATTGTTATTGTCAAGCATAAGCATTGATCATCACGTGACCAGTGTACGTAGGGTTGATTATTCCGACAAGCTTACCTAGATGTTAGTGCAGATATGTTGTACTGAGGCCAATTTGGATTGATAAAAGAGGCATCAAGATAAACGGGTACAGTTTTGCCCGACCTCACTCGAATTATTTCTAGCAGTGATACAATTTTTAATCGTATTAGCGGAGTTCCCGCCATCGCCAACTATTCCGGTCATGCGCCCGCGTACAAATGCAGCGGTGTCCCTTGAAAGTGTTAAGCGAGTTAAGTCAGATTTAAAAAAAAAAATGTGTTTGGAAAAATCTTTTCGTCTCGATAGTTAGATTTTAACAGCCTCCTTGCTATATGTGCTTTGTTAAATTGCAAGAAAAACACAAAAGGTCGAATATTATAAACATGATTTCTCAAAATCAGAACTAGTTACCTCATTTGCCGGTGTCGATCCTTAAAATACACACATTCTAAATTACTGATGTCGAATCTGTGGTCGATTGAACGAATTTATACTTTTCGTTTTTTACTTTCAAAAAGCTCCGATTTGAGACGAATATTTGTGAGATCCTTCTTCAAGAATAGGCACTTTGTGAAGCAAAAACCTTGAAAATTATTCGCAAAATACGGCATGTTTGGTACCAAAATAAAGCTTGAATCCTCAGCTCTCGTTTGCCATCGTTTGTAATAGGATACCTATTAAAGCACAGGAATACCGTAGCAAAAGGTTTTGTTTTCTAAGTCCGGGCCTGAGAAAGCTTGGGCTTCCTGTGGTTTTTATTTTATACATGATATCCGCTGACTTGGCGAGCGGCGCATGGCCGGAATAGTTGGCGATGAAGCACCATACAGCAGTATATTCTAGGCGGGGTTCGCATTCCGATCGCAAAGGACTGTGGGACTGTGTTTTTCACCTTTTCCCTTCAACATGAATGGATGAACGTTTTGAGTATGGTTAGTTTGACATAATATATATTCAAGCTTAACTTATTTCATCGTTTTTCTTTATGTTTATATATATCACAGTAAAGTCTTTTCTCTTCTTTTGATTTCTTAGCTAAGTTTTTTTTTTTTTTTTTGGAAAGACGAGGTTTAGATAGTTAGACTGATTGTTCTTCAAAGTAGACATGTCGAATATTGAGCCTTTTGCTCATGTAATTCAACGACAGTATAGTTTTTGACATATCTTTAGTAAGATAATAGCATCAAATCCTACCTCATTTACATTCCCTTATAGAAAGTTCCAACGTGCCCCCAACGCGCCCCTTTCAATGAAGTCTCCTCTACGCAAACATCTCTTAACCCATCCTTCGCAAAATACCAGAAAGCCGCTGAGCACTCGACTCTGACCTTTTTCCCATGTAAACGTTTAACGCGTGACCTCTAGAATGACATCTAGTTTACATTACTGTGTTTTCATAAGAAATCCCTACGTATACGGGGTAATCCAGAATTCTTGGACTGGTTTAAGTTTCTTTGAAATATTTTGCTTGTTCTGATAGAGAAAAATTCTCAGTTTTCTTTGTGTAAAGTAACTAAACCAACGCCTACAAGTTTCAATCTCTCAAGTTTGTCGTCGGTTCCCGTCTCAGTTAGACACAGATCTTTGTGTATCTAGCAACATACGAGAATCGACTGCTGCGATTTGTCACCTAAAATCTGTTATGTTTGCTGTATTTGCGTATTTCTTTAACAATTGATAAAGGCAATTTGTATATCTAATTATACAGCTTCTCATTAATCCCATATAGGTAACTGTCCAATTGTTTTCTTAATTGGACAGCATGGAGTCCTATTCAGACTCCAGAAGATTACTCATTAATATAAAGCCGAGGGGATCCTCACTCGACCACGGCTAGATACCGAATGCGTCGATTCGAATTTCATAAATAGACCATGATGCCTTGCGATTGGAGTGCAAACACCGCTTTTACGATACCAAAATAAAATGATACAAAATAAATATTCAATATATGAAGTCAAGCGTCATCAAGGACATTGGCAAGGCTACTGCAATCCATCTCGAAAGAAGACTGAATATGACCCTTTGACACGGTCACGGCACAGTATGTACTGTGCAGATAGTTATACATGTATGGTCATATGGTGTGCAGTGATATCTCTCAGCTCATCTCTTACTTGACAATAACATTTGATCTGATCTCTGTTGGAAAGTTATTCAGCTAGTTCCGACAAATCCAGTCATGTCTGACAAAACAAGCTGCTCAATTCGGACAAGCAGAGTGTCTGTGGTCTTGTGGTTTGTAGTTGGTGTGTTGTGTTTGGGTGAGTTTGTACGTGTTGAGTTGATTCTAAGTGAATACAGGACAAGACTACACAAGGTAGAAGAGAAGACAGATGGGAAAGATGTAGAGCCGTGTAATGTGAAAACCAAGCAAATCAAAGGTGAGCAGTAAACAGAGTAGAACGCGTACAGAATCGTTGAATGTCACTGCATTTTTTGATGATTCGAATCAGGGATTACAATATAAAACTGTTGTACATACTGAATCTATCTTTCTGGGAACTGAACAACAAAAAGAAATAGCAAAAAGAAAGAATTACATCCAGACGAATCAAAAACAATAACGTGTGATATCGAAGTCTTCGGATTGAATTTCAGGAAATTGAAAGCCCTTTCACCGAAATGCGTGGTACGGTTATCTACAAACCCAGACATATCCCACTGATGTAACATAATCATTTGATTTCGTTACAGCAAGTCGTTCTATCGACTCACCAAAGATCATCCATGATTCAAGACAAAGAGCACGTCGCCTCACCGTGTCTTCACCTTCAAACGACACCAACTTTCAAACTGTTCGTAAAGAACTTTTACAAACAATGGGAGTGGAGGTGAATAAAGCCTTTTCTAAAGCGTGTGGAGCAAAGAAGAATAGATGTCCACCAGGACCTCCCGGTCCACCTGGACGACCAGGTCGCAAAGGATCGACCGGAAGACGAGGACCACCAGGAAGAAGAGGCAAACGAGGACCCCAAGGACCCATGGGAGTGCCAGGCAGAAGTGGCAAGCAAGGCATGATGGGACCTACTGGGTTGAAGGGAGAGAAGGGAGAYAGAGGTGATCGTGGACCACGTGGTGTAGCTGGACGGGATGGTAGACCTGGTCAATCTATATCTGCACCAGAGGTTCAAGTATCCCCTCCCTTGTTAATTGTTAATGAAAGCGAGACGGCCGTGTTGCATTGTGGGTGGAGTGGTAATCCAGTACCTGTGATTGGCTGGAGGAGAGTTGGTGGTTTACTAGACAAGACAAGAAGTGTGTTGGATGCAGGTCTGGCAGGCGTTGATAGGAGTCATAATCTGGAGATAAGGAATGTTAGTAGTAACGATTCAGGAGTGTACGAGTGTAAAGGCAGTAATATACTTGGACAAGCAAACCAGACAGCCACTCTTCTCGTCAACTGTAAGTCGTTACACAATTCTGTTACATTATAGGCATTTTAATAATTTAATTAGACGTATTGTTCTATCGGTTAAATAAGTTCAATTCTTTCAGATCTTCCTCGTATTTCCCTATCTTTTGGACCTATTTACGTGGAAGAAGGAACCAATGTAACCCTGCCAAAGTGTCACGTGACTGGACACCCCACACCAACGATCACTTGGGTAAAACCCCTTGGTATGTTGCCTGCTGCTCGTACCGTCATAAATGGCAGCCGTTTGACTTTATACTCTGTGGAAAAACAGGACACTGGAATATATTTTTGCCAAGCTTCAAATTTCCTTGGATTGTCTATTGGGAAAATGCAACTCATTGTGGTGAAATTGCCCAAATTCACCACCACCCCTCCCTCTTCAGTGGTGTTGTTAGTTGGTGAAAGTCTGAGACTGGACTGTGTAGTTACAGCAGATCCCCCTGCTAGGATTACTTGGAGTAAAGACAACCAACAATTGTCATCTGATGATAGAACAAGAGTCCATGTGAATGGAAGTCTGGCTATAACAAGATTGAAGACCGCAGACTCAGGGACTTACGTCTGTCAGGCTATCAGTGCTGGGGTCTTCAYGGCGAGAACTGGAACTAGAGTTACAGTGCTTTTGATAGGCGGTAATTTCATTAAGTATTGCTTTACAGATACAAAAGTTTATTTATAAAGAAAATATTACGTCGCCGCTTGGAAATCGCCGGTTTTATCTTACAGTTAACATACAGATCTTACTCTTTCGTTTAACTCAACTCAAGACTCGAAGATAAAATCCTTACCTCCGCGAGACCATGTAATATCCTCTATTTGTCTTGCGTTTTCTTATGAAGGGAATTTTGTTTTGAATCTCTTCCAACAGCATCCTTCGATGTCAAGTTCCCCAGAAGGTCTACCTCTGATTACGTCATCATTAAAGGAATACCAACCATGACAGCGGTGTCGTTCTGCTACTGGATGAAGACCGCTGACACAATAAACGCGGGATCGGTTGTTAGCTATGCAACCAATGGAGTGGATAATCAGATTATACTTTATAATTACAAAAATTTTTACCTTATTATCGATAACAATTGGACAAGGTAAATTTAATTCAGTTTCTTTTTTTCCACAAGTGGATGAACAAATAACTAGTTATAAGTTATTTGTGGTCTAACAAGTTATTAGCTCAGTTGGTAAGAGCATCGGTCTGTTGTGCGGGAGGTCGTTGTTCAAGCCTCGGCAGTTCCAACACTCAGGGTCTTAAAATAACTGAGGAGAAGGTGCTGCCTTTGTAATTATATCTGCAAACGGTTAGACCTTCAAGTCTTCTCGGACAAGGACTTAAAACCGTAGGCCCCGTCTGTCTTATATATAACCCTGTATAAATGCCCGTGCTAAAATTCTACAGGGCCCACTGTAATTGGAATAAAAGCTGTTGTGGTGTCCCTGCCCTCATGGGCACGAAACTCTATTTATTTTCCGTCATTTTTGTCTTGTTTTGACCCCTGACAAGATTGCCGCCGTATCGTCCAAGTAGTCGTCCATTGCCTTAGCTGTCCTAGTCTTAAATTTCAAATTCCTTTTGATCATATTTCCACTTGACAAACTATTTCTATCTTCAACACTCACAAGGCTGAATTAAACAGCTTATGTACTGTTCCACTTTCGTTTGATGTTCCCAACAAAAATAAATCCTAAATATTGAGTCTTCTTCTCATATATAGATTGAAGRACTTTGCTTCCCAAGCCAATTCTTGTGAGATTCAGTGGATGATCTTTGTTCTCGTTTCTCATTAGTGCAACAGGTGTTTCAGCGAATGATGGTCAGTGGCATCACATCTGCGCAACGTGGGGTAACACCGCTGGATCATGGGTCATCTAAGTAGTATAGGGAATGGGGGTTCCAGCGCAATCTCAACACGGGCAAGACCCGTGTCAAAAATCCACCTACGGAAACAACCCACTCCAAGTGTGGTTGGGGGCAACAGCGCAAATATGTTAGTCTATATATGGAGTGCGAAGAATGTAAG